ACAAAACAGAATAATCATGTGTCGGTTTAATATGTGTGAGACTTGGTTGTAGTAAACATTTCCCTTGATTTCTATTAAGGCTATTTATAAATCAGCCTAAATGCCTTTATTCTACAAAACTTTCTAGGAGTAGCGCTGATGATTTTCCTACAGACCTTTGCATTGGCCTACCATAAGAAATAGTTGGTTAGGACCATTACTACCACCAGAACCTGTGGTGTGACTCTTTTAGATTGATATTTATTTCATAAATCCTTGAACTTTTAAATTTCTAGTATACTAGGAATCATACCCATGGAGAGAATGGAGGAGGTAGACAGGATTTGTCCAGGTGTCTGTGATAGCTTGTCTGTGGCATGTCCAGTTGCCTACTACGTATTATATTTTGTGGACAGTGGACTGCTCTGGAGAGCAGGTTTAGGAAAAACTTCTCTACCTTCACCCTTGAGAATTAGACTGTGCACCAGCAGGAGGAGGTGGAGAGCCATCGAGCACCACTGCCTCCCACTGCTGGTGATGTTTGAAGAGAGGAGTGCAGCTTTCCTACTAGGAGACAGAGCCTTCATCAGATCATCTGGAGTTTTTGTTGTTTCCTTACTTTTTTCTTCATGAGTGTCCCAGGAAGACTCAGCAGGTACAGTAGCAGCACCCTTCCTTAGGTACGTACATGCACACGCATAAACACACAATTGCTCAGGTACGTACATGCACACGCATAAACACACAATTGCAAGTCTAGTCACTCACTGTACTTTTTTTTTTTTTTTTTGCTAGGCAGGTGCTCTATTGAGCCATGTCCCTGGTCCTTTTTGCTTTAGTAATTTTGCTAAAAGAATCTAAAGTTTTTGTTCAGGGTTGGCCTTGGACCAAGATCCTCTCTATCTCTCTCTATTGAATAGCTAGGACTGTAGGTGTGAGCCAGGGCTCACTCATCTTTTCCTTACCTATAAATGTGTCACATACATGCATCCCTTCCCACGATGGTGCCCTGGCATTTAGCTTAGGGACACACTATCTATCATGCACAGTCTATGGGAGCTGACTTACAGAATGAATCATGTTTATTATTCCTGGACTGGTGTAGATCTCAAAGACAGCACTTTAACAGATTTTCAAGGTGGTTGGTTGGTTGTCCTATGTTAAGTATGCTGTTAGAAGATGTTTGACATTTATGGAGAACATTGAGTTTTATGACTCCAATTGCATTCTGAGGGGGTCTTTTCTGTAAAGAAAAAGCATTGGGAATTTAGCCTCCAATCACGTAGAAAGCCAGTGCCTTGGAGTTGCTTTGCCAGTGTAAAGGTTTGAATTTAGGTTAGGGTTAAAAAAAAATCGTGCTGTTTTTTAAAAATGGACTCCTTCCAGAAATAGTGACTTTGCCTGTCAGTAATAATGGTAATAGGTAGGTTTGTTTGCAGATCTTCAGTGTGCTCTTCTTCTGTTTTGAAAAGTAACATGACAGGACTTTCTGCAATGCTCCCAACACAGAATCATGGGTCCCACTGTGCTCTTCCCAGGGCATCTGGTGGTTCACACTGGCCCCCTAGTGGGCAAGCCTCCCTGCCCAGTGGTTTTTGCAAAAAAGTAATCCAGATTACTCACTGTTAGCCAGCTGCAGGCCGCTAGAGCTAAGAGTGGGAAGTTCCTCAGCCACTGCCCTCCCAGTTCAGGTACTTGCAAAGCAGAGTCAAGCCCTTTGCCATATGTAAATCCGGTACTCTAAAGTGTGTGTCAACTGAAGTCAGATCCCCCTTAGAATCCTCTTATCTGTAAGCACTGGGTTTTTTTATTAATTTATTATAATATGTTAATATAAATATTGTAATAATTATAGATTAATATAAGTAGTACAAACTGATTTCACAGTTTTTCCTACATGGCAAGTGGAAAGAGGTGCTTTTTATGTTTCATTGTCAAGATTCTGTTCCATGGCAAGGTTTTAGCTCTTTTTAGTCCCTGGCATTGGGCCAGGTCTGGGAACTTAACAAGTCACAAATATCTGCAGGTGGTTGCCTCTGCCTGGCACAAAGTGGGCGCCCACTAAATACTTGTTAAATGATTGGCCAAGGGTTCTTCAGCTATTGACTCGTGAGGCCGATATCACTAAAAGGTCTCCAAATATAACAGTGTTTAAAAACAGCTGAGCACCTTGTAAAAATACAGCAACTGTACCTTGTGTTTGCAGCAAGCCTTGTGTTCATTGCTTATCAATTTTTTTAAGCACTGGGGTTTGAACTCAGGGCCTCACGCTTGCAAGGCAGGTGCTCTTACTGCTTGAGCTACTCTGCCAACCCTTTTTTGTGATGGGTATTTTTAAGACAGGGTTTCATGGACTGTTTGTCCAAGGCTGGCTCTGAACCAGGATTCTCCTGATCTCTGCCTCCTGAGTAGCTAGGATTATAGGTGTGAACCTAGTAACCTGGTGAAACCTAGGTGCCTGGCTACCTATCAGGTATAAGCTCTGCTTGTTGTGAGTATTGCAGATGGGTAACCAAAATGTGTAGCACTATTACAGGGCACTATCCCTTGTCAGACTCTTCTGTGTCTAATTTTACCTGCCACCCCTCTGGGCCCACTGGAGCCTGATAGAGGGTGTGAGGTACAATGTCAGGCGAGGCCAGTTCAGGGTCTTGCTGGCTATACAAGCCCAGGGCAGGGCGCCAGGCAATGTCAGTACTTCCTAGCCAACCTACAATGGAAAGAAAACAAACCGATCAGCTGGATATGGTGGTGCATGCCTATAGTATCTAACAAGACCCTGTTTTAAGTCAGTCAGTCAACCAATCAATAAACAAACAGTGGTTACTAAAAATGATTAGAAAGACAAAAGACGTAGCTGACCAAATGACAAGATAGATTTACTAAGAATTCCTCTCTTGAGAAAACCCCAAGGGAGCTCCTAACACATAGACTCTTCGTTTTTATGATTCACTTCAACCCATGCTGGTGCGTGCTGCATGTTGTGGAGTGATGCACACACGTGCAGAGATGTTGTCAGCACTTGGCTCTGAAGCTCCTTTCCTTGCTTTTTCTTCTTGGGACCACACATCTTTTGTGTTGGATGTAGGAGGGAGACAGGGTGAGGAGTAGTCCCTCAGGATAGCTCATTCTGTGGTGATGACCATAGTCCTATGTGTTCTGCCAGTGTTGCTGGGGAAACTTCTGGAAGCTGAGCTGTGCTGGAGCTCAGTGGGAACCAGATGGGAGGGTTGTGCCTTAGATTGTACGTCCAAGGACAGGGTCTTCTTAGTGGTAGAGATTTTATTGGTTTTTTTATTTGACACCTACCTATAAATACTGATTAAAAGCAAATAAGTATATGTTTATATATACATGCATGTGTTTTTGAGTTGAAGAACTTTCAAATAAGCATTTTGAGTGTTTTAAATATCCCTTTAATACTTATTGAATATTAAATATCTTTAAACATGTTAACATTTAATATTTCCATCAAAGCTAGAAAATGTAAGTGAAGGAATTTGCCTAATGACAGAAGTACCGTTTTGTAAAAGGAAAAATTTCAGTGCCTGTCTGAACTTGTACCCCTATTCGGCCCACTGAGTTTCCTGTGGAGGGCACCACCCGGAGCCCTCCCCCAAGCTTTGCCCATGACATTCCCATCTGTGACCTGACATGCTGGTATCCGATTGGTCTGGGTTGAAGTATGTTTAAGCACTTTTTTTATGATGCTGATAAACTGTACATCCCAGTGCCTGACTCTTCCTGGTTCCATTATGTTTGAAGAGGTTGTTGCATCACCTGACTATATTTAGACTTGGAACAGAACTGGAGACCAGCCAGTTACTCGGGTAACTGCCGCGATTTTTGGAGTCTTCTGAATCTCTCAGTGACCTTAGGCATTACATTAGAGCGAAGGAACCCAGGGAATCAATATTATTTGGATAGAACTGATGTGCTGAAGATCAAATTAGAATCAGGACTCCATCCTGGTTTCCAACCCAGCTCTGGCTTGGAGCAGCTGTGCAGTGGAGCTGGTAGCCAGCAATGGTGTCTTGGGCTCACACTGGTCACCTCACTGGGCACAGGGCCATGTAGGTCCCCACTCTGCTTCTGGTGTTTACTGAACTAATGCACACTGCTCTTTTCTTCTGAAGTGCACATCAAACTGTCACGTCAGTGCGATTGATGAGAAATTTTAACATACTAGTGTGTGGCACGGGTTGTCATCATTGTATCTCCGCCCTCATAGTTTTCCCTGAATTTATTTGAAAATTATGTGGGACATGTGCATGTTTCTGTGTTTGTAAGAATTGGCTCTAGTAATGACAAAACACTGTGGGTAAGAGCTCAATGTTTTTTATATTATGTGAACTGAGAACATCTTGCTTCCTTGAAGTGAAATGTTAGAGAATTTGTACTCTGTCTAAAGTCTTGTTAAATATAATCACTGTGTTCCAGCCTCCTCTGCATTTCAAACTTGGAATGTCGCTTCTACTTGGGTCTCACTAGCCACTCTTTAGAGTTTACTGTTTATTCAAGTAGGAAGTCCTTAAGTAAAGTTGCTGCCAAATGCAAATTATTTATCAGATCTTAATTTGTGAAGGTATTTATGTAGAAAAAAAGAGATTGCTATGTAAGTTGAATTTCCGTGTGGAAGTAACCAGATAATCACATATTCTGTGAGTTATACCAGTGTTCAACGAAAATAGTTCAACGAAAATCAATGAAAGTAGATTTAAAATACAACTTTTGTCTTAACATCTTAATAATTTATGAATTTAATGTATGGGGAAATCAAGTCATGATCTGACTGAGAAGAAATTTATGCGTGGCTTGACTGAAAGTCTGAATGAGCCATTATTTGCACAGAGTAGAGGGGCAAATGACCCTGAGGCTTCATGGGTGGTGGCTTGCTAAGGAGAGAACGCCTGGGTACTGCAAGGCTGACTTCAGGCCCATTGGTAGAGCAGGTTGTTTTCATGCAGGCTGATGGTCAGTGAGCAAGCCTCAACAAGCTTCTCTGTTTTTCTCTTCTACAGTCTCACCAGTGATCATTAAGGAATGGGCAGCTTACAAGGGGAAGTCTCCTCAGACCCCAGAACTGGTAGAAGCCCTGGCTTTCCGGGAGTGGACCTGCCCCAACCTGAAGAGGCTTTGGCTGGGCAAGGCTGTGGAGGACAAGAACCGCAGGATGAGGGCTTTCCTGGCCTGCATGAGGTCTGACACCCCAGCCATGCTCAACCCTGCCAATGTGCCCACTCACCTCATGGTGCTCTGCTGCGTCCTACGGTGCGTGCCAGGCTATGTGTGTTTGTGGTGACAGTGGTGGGGGTGGGGGACGGGGCATCACGGTGTCTGAGGCCTCTAGAAAGGATAGAAAGTTAATTCCATGGGAATCACATTATCTATCGAGATTTGTCCTGAACCCATGTTTATATATATTCCAGGAATGTGGGCCATGTAAGTGCAGTGAACACTTGAATTATACTATGGAGTATGTTTATAGAATAGGTACTTTTGGTAAACATGGATGGCCTGAAGATACTAGGTAATGATTTTAAACATAGTTTATTCTTTGCGTACTGAAGATCTTGAAAGCTGTAGAGGGGATTATATATTATACATGTTTGGAAGTTTGTCTCCTCTTTCCCCTTCATTTATTTAGTCAGTAGGGACATAAGTGTACCGTATAGGTGATGACTTTGTTTTGGGTTATGAGCCAATACTGTGTCCTAGGTTGTTGCTCACATTGTGCCAGCTCTGGCCTAGGAGCTTGCTGGAGTTGGCCCTAGGATACACACCATCCTTTGGTTTGAGGGCACTTCCTTACTTTCTGGATCTGCAAGATGCTTTGGGTACATCTTGTGTTTCACTGCTCTGGCACTAGCCATCTGCAGGAAGCAGCCTGGCTCCCTTCTGGTCATATAGCAGATGTTGGAACCCAGGCTGGTGTGCTCCTGGGAACCCTCTGCTGGGTCCTTGCAGCCAGCAGTGATGGGTAGACATGACATTTAAAGTCATTTGAGTTGGGAGGTATACCAGAGGTTCATTATTAGGTTTTGAGGGTCGGTCATTTTTTTGTTTTGTTTTGTTTTGAACCAATTTCAAGTGTAGAGAAAAGTTGCCAGTACCATACAAAAGAGGGTTTTTTTTTGTTGTTGTTTTTGTTTTTTTAATCACACACTTTAGTATGATTCTCTAACAAATAAACTGTGAACATCAACCCATGTGTATCCTTTAGTCCATCCCATCTGAGTCTCATTTCTTAGTTGTCCAGCAGTGTCTTCTGCTTTCAGGTATTGGATCCCAACTGGGGTTGCAAGGTTTGGTCCATCTTGTCATGCAGGATTTGCATTCTGAAGGCTTAATGGGGTGTCTGCAGCAATTCTACACAGAGCTCTTTCCCCATCGGTAGCTGGTGTGTGTCCTGTGGGGAGGTGCTCTGACCTTAGGAGTGTCTCTCCTTCTGTTGTGTAGGACCCTTTTGCCCATTATTTATTTTGACACCTGCTGGTGTCCATGGTCTCCACGTACCCCTACATTCTCTGAACCCTCCTTAGATACAGCTGTTCTCCCTCCCACCTCCCTTCCTGCCTTAGCTCCAGAGTCTCCATTTTGTCATGTAACCCTGGTCCCTCCATGTGGGGGTGGCATTTAGAAGCCAGGTTCTTCCCATGGCTCCTGATGCTCCGGCCCTCCCAGTGCATTCCTGGATCCACACGACAGCAGCGGCTTGTGTGTGTGTTCTTATTTCCTGTTGAAAACAGTGCATTTACTTTGATCCCTCTAACCTGCCCTGAATAGCATCCCTTCCATGTGTGTGACTTGTGACTCTGGCAGTGAGACTTGGTCTGGCATGGGTCCTTGTGGCTGCACTCTTTTCAGAAGACTACTTCTCCCTCTCTCTAGCTGCATCTTGTGCAGGCTCTGCTTACCCTATTCCACCCTCCACCCCCTCTTCACCCTGCTTACTGGGTCCCACCTCCCTGACTTTAGGAAGGGAAGGACAGAGCTTTATTTGTAATCTTATTTACTAAAGTTACTTAAATTTATAATGAACTTTTAAGGCCAATTATTTGTTTCAGACGATGTACCTAAAGTTTGATCAACTGGAACATGGTATGTTATTTTGTTAACTTGCTTTGACTAGGTTTTTGATTTTAGAGTCATCTGGTTTTCTCTGATAGATAATGCAGTTAAGGAGATGTTTTTATCAGTCCACCATACATTAGTCAAATGTTTAAGGTGTAGATTCCGGGTGCTCTGAGTTCACATTAACAAAAGTGAATTTGGTCACTTTGTGTTTCTTTCAAGCGAGAAATGATGAGTAGCACCCTACTGACCACTGTCCATCTGACCCACTGAGTGTACTGGCTTCTGAGTGGAGACACAGTGTGCAGGAACTCCAGACAGCATAAGTCCACAGTGTTAGTCAGGGACGTGTTGCAACATCAACATTTCATCAGCTTCATGGTCAGGTTCATGCCCCTGGGTGTGGTGGTACAGGCTACCCTTGCTCTCATGTCCTGTTTATTCTCTCAGCTCCTCATGTGGCTTGTGCTGGCTTCAAGAGGCATAGACCTGGGGACTCTGTGCCCCTGTGTGCTTGCCTCGTGCATGGAGCTCTGTGAATTGTAGGCCCTTCTTCAGCAGGAACTACCTGCTCTCTCCTCATCCCTGTCCGGAGGAGTAAACATGGGCCAGACATGATGAATGGGCAAGGCTGTGCTGCAGCAAATATTTCTTACAGATGCAGGCAGGTAGCTTGTGGCTGGACCCTTCAACCATACAGACTGTTCTTCATTTAGATTTGATATGTATTTCTTCGTGATTGGACTCATTCCATGCATTCAGACAGAATATTACAGAAGGGTGGTGTGGTCTTCTCAGTGCACATGAAGGCAGTGTTTGCTTTTGCCAATTCCGTGAATCCCAGTGTCTCTGTCTCTGCCTCTGCCTCTCTCTGTCTTTCTCTCTATCTGTTCGTGGTACTGGGATTTGAACCCAGAACTTCCTACTTGCTAGGAAGGCACTCTGGATTGAACCATGCCTCTATCCCCATTGCTGTGAATCTTGTTCCCTTGGTACGGTCATGTTGGGCATTGCTGCGTTGTCAAATGTTGCATATCAAATGGTTGGGGGTAGATTGGGGAAGTCAGTTCAGTCTCTAGAATTCTCAGCAGCAGACACAAGGAAAGAGGGAGTCTTAGCAGAGGTTGGTGTAGCATGGGGGTAAAGGTGGGATACACAGAACAGAACAGAAAATCTTTATTAGGGAGACACATGGACAGAATCAAGGAAGCCCCTCTCCAAAAGTGAAGAGACCGGTAACAAATAGGCAGATATGACTAGGCTGTCTTGGAAGGACATAAATCACTATAAAGTATCAGGGAGAGAAGGTAGGAGGGCCAGAGCTGGGCTTCAGCCATCTGCAGATGCATTCCCTTGAGGATGGTATCAGACCACCCTGTCCCCACGGCCCATTGCTGCCCAGGAGCTGCTTTCATGTTGTTGGAACTCTGACTTCCCCAGCTTCCATGCCTGTCAAGGGCAGTGAGAGGAGACCAGCATGGAAGGCTTTAGAACAATCTAGACTGCCCTCACCTTTGATGGTAAGAAGTGAAGGTAGGAGGATTAATAGCTCTCTCAGTGCCCTACTGCTGATGAGTTCTTCAAATAGTGTTTTAATACTTTGCTCAACTGTGTAGAAAAGAACATATAAAGGAAAATTTTGCAAAAATTCCATAGGTAGATTTGACATTGTGAAAGGGATCTGAAATCATCCTAAATGCACAAATAAGAGTAGCCAAATGATTGAGATGTCGGAGAAGGTTGCTGTTCTTGCTATCTGAAGGTTGGCATCTAGCCCATTATGTGTACGTCATGCATTCTGTCTGTGTCTGAAAAGAGCAAATGGAAACTTTGGTGTGGAAAGACAAGTGGAAGAGACAGGCATTCTGGCCAATGAGACCATGTGTGCCTGCAGCTCTGCTGAGCTCTGAGAGTACCTGTTGCCAGAAAAACAGGGAAGGTCTGGGCCTGTGGCCAAGACCATCTTTTCTGCCCCCCCCCCCAAAAAAAAAGATTCAAAAAATGTAAAAGGATCTTAGTCCAGAGTTAGTGTTCATGGGTCAGAGTTGCAGTTTGGGAAGATGAAAGGAGCAGTGTGATGTGCTAAACCACTGTGATGGACACATGAAAAATGTACACTTACAATGGTGTGTCTTACATGTATTTAAAAAATAAAAGTTAAAGGAGGACAGAATGTATACTTAAGGAAAGGGACATTGTATATTGAGCATAGTCTCTTCTACAATAAAGTTTAGAGACAGCAGTAGGGGCGTTCTTCACATTTACTTGTTTTTTCATCAGGCTCTGATTAAAACTCAGTGAGACCATCGTATTTAAGACTGAGACACTCAGTCAGTTGCAAAGGGTTTAGTTTTTGTTATTGCAAATATTGACTGTTAAAAAAATAGAATTTTTATCCTGACGTGGTGGCTCACACCTGTGATGCTAGCTACTCAGGAGGTGGAGCTTAAGGTCAGCCCAGGAAAAAATTTACGACACCCCTTCGCAACCAATGGCTGGGGGTGGTGTTGTGCACCTGTCATCCCAGCTACATGGGGAGCATAAGTAGGTTCTTGTCTGGGTAAGCCAGGGCATGAGGTAAGAACCTATCTTAAAAATTACCAAAGGAAAAAGTGGTTCAAAGTGGTGGAGCCTCTGCCTAGTAAGGGCAAGGTTTTGAGTTCAAACTCCAGTACCACTAAAAATAAATAAAATAATAATTTTATGTCACCATTTTATTTAAATACAATAGAAATACTCACTATTAGTTCACCTTGAAATTTCTTTTTTTTGGGGGGGAGGTGGCAGTACTGGGGTTTGAACTCAGGGCCTCACGCTTGTTAGGCAAGTGCTCTACCACTTGAGCCAAGCCCCCAGCCCTCCCTTCTGTGTTTGCCATATAATTTTACCATGAAGTATATAAGCTGTCCGTGCTTCAGTTTCCTCATCTTTAAAATAGGATAATAATTACACCTGCCTCAGAATTGTTTAGGACAGTAGATGAGCTAATGTCTATATGATGCTTAGACCTGCCTGGCAGATAATGAATACATAAAATTCCAGTTTGGGATTTAATGTACAATACATCTTGCAGTGATGACTTCTGTGGAACCAGCAACTCCTCCTTACTCTGTCTTCTCACAGATGAATATTAGCACAAGAGCGAGTTAGGGCTTAATACCAACTCTGACTTTGGTTTTTGTTAACTTGGTTTTAAGCCCCAGAAAGCTTATTGAGCAGGTGGAGATGGAGAGAGCCTTGTAAGCATGTCATGGTTCTCTGGACAACTTCAAGTTGTTCTTCAGGGATCATGTAGCAGGTAGCAGTCTGTCACCAGACATTATTTTTAGTGGCAAACCCTCAGGTTTGTGGTGTGCAAAGAGTTGGGATGGTTCAACTTACACATTTATGGCTCAGTTGTGTGGTTAGGTGTTTGCTTTCTCACATTAGATAATTGGGATGGAGTGACCCAGATTATTTGTCACTGGGTCCGGGTTGGAACAGAAAAGGGAACTCACTGATCCTCAACAGCCCTGTTTTAGTGGAAGCTAAAGATTTAGAAGTTGGTTTCCTTTTGAATTCCTATGCCAGGATGTACCCATTTGAAGGCAGTGGCTTCAGTGGTTGGCCTGTGTGTTGCAATCTTTGTATTCCCCCCTCTCCTGTGGATGACTCCTGCCCTGTCTGCCTTGTTCAGGCGCTACCTAGGAGCCCTTCACTAATCATGAGATTAATCTTTCTTTGGTTTTTTTTTGTTCATTGGTTTGGTTTTGGTGGTGGTACTGGGGTTTGAACTCAGGGTCTCATGCTTGCTAGACAGGTGCTCTGTCACCTGAGCCATACCACCCATTCCTCTTTGCTTTAGTTATATTTCAGAGAGGGTCTTGTGTTTTACCAGACCATGATCCTCCTACTTATTCCTCCCTCTTAGCTAGGATGACAAGTGTGTGCCACCATGCCCAGCTTTTTTGTTGAGACGGGGGTCTTCCAGGTGTTTGTCCAGGCTGGTCTCAAACCAATTTCTGCCTCCCAAGTAGCTGGGATTACAGGTGTGAGCCACCATGCCTGGCAATTAATCTTTCTTATTATGACCTTTTAATCTTTTCTATTGTGTCACCATAGAAAATTCAGTTGAATTAAAATCAGTGTTGTGAATTGTTGCTTCTAGTGCACTTTTAGGTTTTAAATGCTTCACAAGAGTGATTGACCAGCTCATTTTTAGTGTGCTGTTTTTAATTACTCTAAAGTAACGTATTTTGACAAGCCTGGATTATGATTATGTTTTCATTCATCCTCGTGTGCAAACAGGAACACTGGATAAGAATGCCTTAGGTACCCTCTCAATTTGCATTAGCCCCAGCTTGCTTAGACCCTCTTGCTAGGTTTATCTACTCAGTCAACTCACTTTCCTCCTTTCTGTCCCTCACCAGGTACATGGTGCAGTGGCCAGGAGCTCGCATTCTGCGGCGTCAGGAGCTGGACGCCTTCCTGGCTCAAGCTCTGTCCCCCAAACTCTACGAGCCGGACCAGCTACAGGAGCTCAAGGTAACGTATCAGCCTTGTTTTGTTTTCTGGGGAAGTCTTGCTTCGGATTTTGGTGTAACACAGCTAACCTTCACCAGGCAGATTGCTCAGTGCTCTAAACTAATGGTACTAATTTGATGTGAGTTGAGAGCCTTCAGGGCAAAGGGGATATTCCTATCTAGTTGTAGATTTGCCATCCCCAGTTTGGAAACAGTCAATTCCACTTTTTGTCAGAGATTTATTCTTGTTTTTCACATCAGAAAATAAAGTTGTCTTTATTTTTTTTATTTTAGGAGGGAATTCCAGGTCCTGAGAGGGCTCGATCTTAAGAATTTCCTAACATCTAGCCAGGATTCTTTTTCTTGTTTCATTCCATTGTTGCTAGCTACAACTTTAGTTTTCTCTAAAAAACATTCTTTGCCCTTCTAGTAGTATAAAATCCCTTTTAAAAAACAAAAACACTTGAAGACCAATGTTACACCATCATCGCAACGCCTGTTTTAGTCAGCATTTAACATTATATTCCTTTTAATTTTGCCTTCTTGTAATTCCTTTTGTTCTTTGTTTTGACAGTATTTGTTTTCTCTAAGTTGTCCCCTGGTTTTTAGTGTACCTGTCTTTTCAGTACACTTTTATTACTTGCTGTGCTCACATGATTGTAATTACTTTCTAATTTCTACATTCAATGTTAGTTCAAGACTTTTCAAAGTTAGCAAAATTCATAGATGTGCCTTTTCTTTTTTAATGTAGAGGGTTTTGCTTTTTTCTTTTCCATCAATTATTTATTTATTTGTTTATTTGCATAGTTTTATTTGAAATCAGTTAACCTCTTTTGACAAAATTGCTTTCACTTTTAGATCTTTTTGCTGTTCTTTATGAACGCATCTTTCCTTGCAGAGGGAATTTAGACTCGCCTTATAGATTTTTAGTATTTGCTGGGTGGTGCTAATAAACTTCTGATTTTTCTCTAAATTATTGTGTTAAATTTTGTAATTTTTGGTTGAGTGGAGTGCACCCAAGGCTTCTGATGACTTTGAAACAAGCTAAACACAAAACCAAAGCATAGCAGAATTTCTCTCAAATTGTGTGCTTTTACTTTGTGGATCAAGCTTTTCTGTTTGCTAGGCAGAAATTGTTACTGTCTTTAACACTTTTGTTTTCGGTGTCAGGCAGTGTGGCGGGCCCAGTCAGGTCCTCCCGCGTGCTCCCCGTGTGCCCCGTCACCACCGTCCTCGCTGCAGGCTGTGCTTCAGGGGTGGAAACACTGCCCTAGAGTGTGGTGCCACCCTCTGCCTCTCCTCCTGTTTCTCTTGTGTAGATTATTCCTTCAGTATTGACATCCCAGTTCTGAAAATCAGACCGCCAGGGACCAGGTATGCCCACCAAGCCTTATTCACCATCAAGTTACTTTACCTACAGTCCATCTTATCTCCCATATCCTTTTCATTTTGGATCCACACGCAGGATATAACTTTTGAAAGAAGCTTTCATTTTGGTTCTTTTGAGGCCTTAGTGCTTTCATCTACTGATTCTTCATCTAAGGCGAGACATTATTTTAGAGCTGTCTCAGAAAGACACATTCCATGTACAGTTGCCTTCTGTCTCACTCATCCGCTGCCCAGGGTCTTCTTGTGTGGAAATTGACGGTCCCCTTCCATAAGCAAAGCCCATGCCATGAGAGCTTCATTGTCAGGATGTGCAGATTTCAGTGGAGCTGGAGGAAAAGTAGCATTTGTTTGAGGGGAAGGTAGTTGTTTGTACTGTTAAGATTAAAAATTCTCTCAGCTAACAGATTGAGAATTGATAGGGATAATCCTTATTTCAATGTTACCAAAATTTATATACAGAGCTGAGGGTTCCAAAATTCAGTGATAGAAAATTAAGTTGCTTTTTCACTTAACATTAGTTTTGATATATCAAAAGCAGTGGCAGTGCTTTTCTGCGACATGCCACTTCACTGTTTAAGGTACAATCACTCTTGACTGCCGCTGCTGCTATACCAGGGCTGTTACTGGTTTGTGGGTTGCCCAGGCCCTGTTGCTCTTCTCCCCTTCACTGCCCAGCACATGCTGTGCCATCAGAAAGAAGAGAGGAGGAAGGACCCATTTCTAATAGTGTTTGCACTCTTGCTAGCTTTTCTGGTGGGTGGTTCAGTGGGAAAAACATTGCAACCATTAGCTACAATAAGTTCTTAAGGATTTCATCTCATCCATGCTTTCTCCGTCCACCATGTCCATGAGTACCTGAGCGTGTTCTGTGTGGCTTCCTGAGCACCTGTGGCGGTGATTCCATGCTTTCTCCGTCCACCGTGTCCATGAATCCTTGAGCGTGTTCTGTGTGGCTCCCTGAGAACCTGTGGCAGTGATTGATGACCCTCATTTTTTTTCCTGTTAAATTTTCTAAGCTGTTCTCCTAGGTTACCAGCATGAATGTAATTGCTAAGGTAAAAATAGCACTGAGCCCAGGTTTCGAGGAGGGTGGGTAAAGGATGAGGAGAAGGAACTTTGTACACTTGTGATACTTGTCCAGTTTCTTCTCCCTTGCTCTTGACATCCCTATAATTGCCTTAAATTCTTTTAACAGTTTCACATGCCAAGTGCAGAATAAAAAAGATGGAAATGAAGAGCTTTAAAGACAGTATTAGGGACGTGCAACATGTCTGTGATACCTGTAAGAATTATTTTGCATATAGGTAAATATGAAAAATTACAGTAAGAGTGTTGCCCAGTAATTAGAAACTGGACAAAGTTGCTTCATTGGAATTGTTTCTTGAACTAATTGGGCAGAGATTAAGTTCTATATTTGCATTTCCTCGAAGTCAGAATTTTTCGTCGGTTTCTCTCTAGTTGAGGAACTTTGGACAGTTGAATATTTATCTAACCTGAGAGAATCAGGTTAGAATATGAATATTGTAGACACTTTCTACAGTTGGCTTCAAATTTGGATTCTGCCATTCTCCTCTGTGACCATCTGTACATCGGAGTACTGTTGGAAATGCCTGTATCCTATCGTTATTGAGAGCTCGAAGTGAAATAATGCACATTAAAATGCATGCTTAAAAATATTTTTAAGCACAGAGCTGGTGGCTCATGCCTGTAATCTTGGCTACTCAGGAGATAAGATCAGGAGAATCACAGTTGCAAAGCCAGCTAGGGCAAATGGTTAGCAAGACCATATCTTGAAATACTCAACACGATAAAAAGGGTTGGGGGAGTGGCTCAAATGGTAGAGCACCTGCCTAGCAAGCGTGAGTCCCTGAATTGAAACACTCCCCCCCGCCCCCCCCAAAAAAGGAAAAAAGATTATAAGCTGGGTGCCAATGGCTCAAGCCTATAATCCTAGCTACTTGGGAGGCTGAGCTTGGGAGGAATGCAGTTTGAGGCCAGCCCTGAGCAAAAACTTTGTGAGACCCCCATCTCAGCCAATAGCTGGGAGTGGTAGTATGCACCTATCATCTCAGCAATAGTGGGAAGCATAAAATAGGAGGATTGTAGTTTAGGCCAACCTGGGCAAAGAGCAAGACCCTATCATCTCCAAAAAACTAGAGTAAAAATGACCATAGGTATGGTTCAAGAGGAGGAGCATCTGCCTAGTAAGCATGAAGCTGAGTTCAAACCCCAGTACCAGCCCCAAATTTTTTTTAAACAAATACATACTTATTTTACATACTAACTTTAATTCCCCATAAATGTTACATGTTATTATGTGAATAATTAACATTTAGGGAAAGAAAAACACTATGCAATGTAAGTTTTAAAAAGTTTAAGCCAAGAGTGGGGATTCATCATACCTATAGTCCCAACTACTCAGGTGTCTGAGGCAGAAAAAAATCAAGATTTCAGGGCTAGCCTAGTTTCCATAGCAAGGAAAAAAAAAAAAAAGAAAATTTTTGAAGGAAGCAATCTATACAGCAGTGGAGATTTACTCCCATTGTCATGTAGCCTTTATTTTAAGAACTTTTCTCTGTTAAATTTAGTGATGGGTGTCTTTATTAAAATTGCTAATTATCTTGAAAGTATTAGCACCTACCATTTTTTAAGTCCATAAAAAATCAGTCCGTCAATGCCAAGGCCAGTTTAATTTACACGTATGTATTATCTACAATGGAGTTCTGCTCCATTCCTCCTGTCAGCATTTCAGAGGTGCGTGGCTGTAACTAGGGTGCTTCTGTATTGTACACATCTGCTGAGTTTTCTTAAAGTCAGCATGCGTGTGGCACTTTACCCGGGACATTAGTTGGCAGGGCTTTGTGTGTGGACATGAACAGAAGCAGTCTGTGACCAAGAACTGCTGCATGTGTATTCACAGATGTGCGCCATGGCATTTTGTGCAGGATGTTTGGATAGAGGTATACATCTTCAGAACACTATCAAATCTGTCATTTTTCTCCCTAACCTTGACCCAGATTCTCTGTTTTCTGGCATATGGCTCAGAGGCCCTGGGCTGGAAGGAACAGAGTCTCACTTGACTAGAAAGGATTCATGGTCACCATCATGTAGAGCAAGGGGTCAGGGACCTGTGTCCTGGGTGATTGTATTTCATCACGGGCCCCGCCTTTGCTTGGCCATTCTCCAACAGGGCCAGTTCCCTCTTCCTGCTGTGAGGGTTCTCCTTTCTTGTATAGCTCAGTTAGGGCAGCAGGATCTAAATAAATCAAGTGCATTCTTTCAGTTTGTCTCTCTCTTTCTCCACATTGCACATAAATATGAAAATACATCTAATTCCATCACCCCAGCCACACCTGCTTCCCAGCAACTGCATGGGGGACATAGGCACCGGTGATGTTCCAGGATTAGGAGGTATAGGTAAACAACTCTGCTAACCTCAAACAGACTCCTCTCTATTTTGGAAGCTTAATTGTGTTGACTTAAATTTTAGAAAAGACTGGAAAACACAGTGTTAGCCAATCATGAGAAATGTTGAATCTTAAATTCATTAGCAGTTGCCACCAGAATGATCTTTTTTGTCTTTCACACAAACCCATTTTGCCTGTCACAGTTAGGTATTGCTTAGACTGATGCCCTAAACAGACTGCATTCTCAAAAAGCCATTGAGGTGGGAAGATAGAAACCAGAGCAGAGATCACACTTTGACCTGGACAATCTACAAACTAGGTCCTTCGCACACGATGGTCAGGAGTTGACTGTCCCTGTGCCAGGTATTTCACTCTGCCATCACATGCACAAGCTGAGAGGGGGGCTGGACACAGCTGTACCCTGAGGAAATGCAAGCACTGCAGATTCCCATGCTCATATACAGTGTATCTGATTTTGGTTTTGGTTTTTTCTTTTTTTTTCCTTCCCATTTATTTGGTATTCATGTCTCCTAAAACATTTTGACAGTTTATTAATTAGTTACATAGAACACACATAGAGTATAAATTTATTTCAGAATGAAATTAAACCAAGTTATTTTTAAGGTAACTATTTGAAAAAATGTAAAACCTTAGAGCATTCTTTTTTTGACACCCTTGGTGCTAGTACATGGCCTGTGTTCAAATTTGAAGTATTAAGTATTATTTCTTGGAGGGACTGTGGAGCATGGGGCTGCTGAGAAGACTGTATATCATTTGTCCTTTTGTCACATTCAGCCTTATATATAGCATTATCCCCACTCTAACAGTTTACAAGTGCCAAACAGAAATACTTCAGTATGTTCATAAAATAAGCCCTTCAATTTTAATATGTCAAATAATTAATAGCCAATAAAGCTAGGGCTGGGTGAGGCTGAGGTGGTGATAGGACTCCTAGTGGTGCTTATGTTGAGGAGTGTGCACTGTTAACTTTGGGGACTTTTACTGGGACAGTGGGAGAGTCAGATACTGTAGTACCTTACTCCATAGAAATTACTCTTTTCACTTTAAAGATTGAGAACCTAGACCCCCGAGGAATTCAGTTATCAGCCCTCTTCATGAGTGGAGTAGACATGGCATTGTTTGCTAACGATGCGTGCGGACAGCCCATCCCCTGGGAACACTGCTGTCCTTGGATGTATTTTGATGGAAAGCTCTTCCAGTCCAAACTCCTCAAAGCCAGCCGGGAAAAGACCCCACTCATCGACCTCTGTGATGGTCAGGTATGTTGAGGAGGGGAGGTGGCGAGTGGCCACCTCTTACTGTAATGAAGTACAGTGTATAGGTTAAATATGTAGTCTTTTATACCATATTTGTTGTAAAGTCTGTGAGAGAGGGCCCAGCCCTGTGTGACCACATACACCTCAGGGCCACCAGAGAGCCAATTCCTTGTAGACCACTGAGTTTGTGGGTATAAACCGTTGCTCCTGGGAAGTGTGGGTTTAAGTGCCTGCGAGTTCCTGCTCATATATTTTCAGGCAATCAGCATATAATTTTGTTCAAGCTCACGGCCTACAGCACAGTAACTCATACTAAAGGAAGCGTTCCTGACACACATGCTTCCTGCCTGGGATACATCACAGCCTCGTGTGCATTTATACTTTGGTACTGGGGGGCCCATCTTAAATAGCAAATTCACCAACAAAAATGACACAAAAATAGGCCAGGTGCCACCTATAATCCTAGCTTCTCAGGAGGCAGAGATCAGGAGGGTTGCGGTTTGAAGCCAGCCTAAGCAAATAGTTCGTGAAACCCTATCTCGAAAATACCCATTACAAAAAAAGGGGGGCTGGTGGAGTGGCTCAAGATAAAGGCCCTGAGTTCAAGCCCAGTACCACAAAAAAAAAAAAAAAAAAAAGCAAAAGATGTGTTGCCACACAGGCCAAAGAAAGGACTTTTTCAGTGTGAGCTAAAACAGGCCCTTGGCTCTGCTCAGGTCTCCAAGTGGCCAGGAAGGTACCCTGAGTACTGATTGGGGGTTACAAATAAGCATCAGCAGGTAGGTGATGTGCAGGTTCAGAGTTCTTACAGCAGTCTGTATCTTAATTTGTTAGTGCGTCCAAATGTGCTTAAAACATTGAATGACTTCTTCACCTGCTGGGGCTTTGACTTGCAGGCTGAGCAGGCTGCCAAGGTAGAGAAGATGCGTCAGAGCGTCCTGGAGGGGCTCAACTTCTCCCGGCAGAACCACCCGCTCCCCTTCCCACCGCCTCCCGCTCTGCCCTTCTACCCTGCATCTGTGTACCCACGGCACTTCGGGCCTGTCCCACCCTCGCAGGGCAGGGGCAGGGGCTTTGCAGGTGAGCTGTGTGTTGGGACTCCTTCACCTGGGGCCAGGATGTGTGATCCTTAAGTGGAGCCCAGAACTTGCCGTGCTAAAACCTGATAATTGTGGGTCTTAGGAGGTTTGCAGCAGAAGTTATTCAAATTAGGAAGGAGAAGGGGAGCCCCCAGTGCTGAGGAGAGGCTTCGTGCTATAGTCTGTCAGTATAGCTGACCACTCCACTCATATTTCTAAGATTTTTACCTTGCATGTGCTGGAAAATAAATCCATCCGAGTCAGAGAGAGCCTCTTTTATGATCCATGTTCCAGGGCCTGCCTGAGTCCTGGCCAGCACTCTGTTTAATAATTTTTTTGGGGGGGGGTGGCCTGAAGGGCTGGCCTGTGGGGATGATGGATGCAGGATGACAAAGTGCGAGAGGAACTAGGAGCCTCCTCCCCAGCAGCTGAAGGAGCAGGTGTTGCTCTGACTGGTCTCATACCCAAAAGAGCCTCCTGTGCCCATCCCTCATGTTTCTCCCCTGTCTCTCTCTACCCCGGGTCCCACAGGAGTCTGTGGCTTTGGAGGCCCCTATGGGGAAACGGTAGCGACAGGCCCTTACCGTGCCTTCCGGGTGGCAGCAGCATCGGGACACTGCGGAGCCTTCTCAGGCAGTGAGAGCGGCAGGACTAGCAAGTCCCAGGGCGGTAATTATACCCACACCCTCCCAGAACTTCTGCCTCTGCACCTCCTCTGCTCCAGCGGCTGGCGCCTGCCTTCCTTTACTGTCCTTGCAAGCCACCTCCTCCAATACAGTGCCCTTTCTCATGGGTCCCTGACTGACCCTCTGCCCTCAGGTCTCTGCAGCAACCCAGCGGTGGCTGTCTCTCCTTTCAGGGTAGGCCACTGAGTGTCCACCTAGAGCAGAGCCCATCTGTGCACTTGGGTGACCTGACCAGCGCCTCGTGCTCACAGACTGAGCTGCTGGCTCTCAGTGGCATCTCCCAAGCGGCCATCTTTTGGTAAAGGTGCTCAGCTTGTGTAGAAGATGCTAACAAGCACAGGAGTCCTGGCATAAAAAGTCTGTCACAGTTTGTTTCGTAGACATGTTTGTAAAGAAAGATCACAACAGGTATATAAATAAGTCAGTTTACTTTAAATTACCATTGCTTCCCTTTTCATTTGTGTTAGTCTAATAAAGGGGAAACAGTCTTTAACATTCAGTTTTAGCTGTAGCGTGGCGTGCAACTTTGTGCTCATCCCACTTTTAGGGAATGTAGTTCCTAGTCCAGCCAGCAAGTCCTGTTGCAGGATTGTTCTGACACATTTGGAATAACATTTAGGACAGACAAGCCTCTCCCCTCTGGGTGGGCAGTGTTTTTCCAGTGAGTTACGTGGGTACTTATGGAGGCCAGTGGGAGGTGTGGTGTGTGGAAAGGACACATGTACATGTGGCCAAGGGTCAGCCTGTCTGCAGTCACAGAAGGCCCTCTCCCTCCTCTGTTCCCCAGCCTCTCAATGGGCTTTTCTGCCCTCGGGATGCTTTTGCTTCTTACATGTGTCAGCTTCTTGGTCTGTGACTGGGAGGTAAGGAGGGAGAGAAGGGTGAGGGGAGAGCCTCCTCTGTTTAGTGTCAGGTAAGGAAGGCACAAGGAACTTGCTTGCCCTCTTTCCTACCATTAAGTCTGAAACTCAGACCTGCATCGTCCCATGCAGTAGCCACAGGTCATGTCAGAGTGAATGACTTCAGCTGTGGCCAGGAAGTATAAATGTACATGAGATTTTACAAATAGAAAGTAGCTCACTAGTGTTTTGGTTTTTTTTAATCTTGATTACATGTTGAAATGATATTATTTGGGTGAAATAGGTATTAAAACATTTCGCCTATTTCTTTGTACTTTTTGTCTTGTGACTATTAGAAAACATCAGGGCTGTCCTAGATTTCTGTTGGCCAGTGCTAGTGCAGATGCTGCAGTGGACATGTATGCACTGCTGACATCAGGATGGTGGCAGTGAGGATAATCCATTACCCTGCCAGAAAACAAAATGCTCAGGGCTCTGTTTTGTTTTATTAGTTAGCTATTGTTTAATGATTTGATAATGTTCTTAGGTCAGAAAACTCTGTTTAGGATTCTGCTTAAGGAAATTCTAATTTATATGATATGAACTACAGAGCTGGGCCTGGTGATCATGCCTGTAATCCCAGCACTCAGATGGCAGAGGCAGGAAGATCACAAGTTCAAGGCCAGCCTGGGCTACAAAGCAAGACCTTGTCTCAAAAAAAGTAAGGAGTGGGAATGTAGCTCAGTGGTAGAATTCTTGGCTAGCCTGTGCATAGCTTAGGGTTTAATCGCCAGCATAACAACAACAATAAAAGGCCAGGGGAGGGAGGAAGGAAATACCAACTAGATTTATTGATTAATTGCTATAATGCTTTATTGATTAATTTCTATAATGTTTGGCTGAGGATATACATTTGGAAGTATTTACCTAAAAAGAAAAATAAGTTGAGTTTGCAGGATTTGTTCTGGTGATATGGAAGTGGGCAAGTGATACCGAGTGCTTTTTAAAATTTCTTTCTTTAAAAGGGCTTGTACTTTTTTGCAGTTGGAACCTAACTTTAGTTGTGTGGGGTGTTTTTTTGAAACAGGGTCTCACAGTGTAGCCCAGGCTGGCCTTGAAGTCAGGATCTTCTTGCCCCAACCTCCCTAGTGCTGGGATTACAGTAGTGTGCATACCACCATGACTGGCTCTAACAACAGTTTAAAAATCACATGGTGTGTACATAGAAACACACATAATTTGAAAAAACAACAAAATAGTCTACACAAAGTGGGGTTAAGTGGCTCCATACTGAATAAAAACCAAAACTGAAAAGTTTTTTTGCTTGCTTCTCTTCCAGTCTTAATGCTTCAGTTGTAAAGATTTTGTCTTTTCATGTATTTTTTTGTGCAGGAGTCCAACCTATACCTTCTCAGGGAGGGAAACTAGAAATAGCTGGCACTGTGGTCGGTCACTGGGCCGGGAGCAGGCGGGGCCGTGGGGGCCGAGGGCCCTTCCCGCTGCAGGTGGTCTCTGTGGGAGGCCCAGCGAGAGGGTAAGCTCCAGAAGGGAAAATGGATCTTGTATACATGCTTTTTTGCTTAGCAGGAATGTTTTTATATCATTAGATAGATACGGTCTTCTGTAACATCACTCTTAATGGTTGCATAGAATCCTCTTATAGAGCATTATATTACTATTAACCACTATTAAATAATTAGCCACGTATTGTTCAGTTAACCAGTTGTCTTTTAAAAATATTTTTAAGTATTATTTTTCAAATCGAATGCCTTTGATATGAACCAGAAAAATGGTACTGATTCCTTTGAATAAATAATTTGGTGTGGTTGTACTTAATAAACCCAGCGCATCATGGTCTAATCCTATGATTAGACCATGTTAATATACTTGATAGTATTTTAAATGTAATTTGTGACAGATTTAAGTCTGTTTGCTCTTGTCTTTCTTTGTTGACCTAGGCGCCCAAGGGGAGTTATTTCTACCCCAGTGATTAGAACTTTTGGAAGAGGTGGAAGGTACTATGGCAGAGGCTATAAAAGCCAGGGAGCAATTCAGGTAATGTCCTCACAGTGTTCCTCTGTCTGTCACTCCCTGTCCACGTCTCCTTTTTGAACTAGGCTACTACTGCCTTTGGTTAGACTGAAGGGCAGTGAGTGTATCCTGTAGCTGTCAGGCCTCTTGACACGATACTGGCACATAGATACTTACCAGTTATAAGTCCCTTGTAGCCCAAGTCATTTCTGTGTCATTTGGGAGCTTTCTCAGGGTGGTTCTGTCCTTTGCTGTGACCTTGTGGTCTTCAGCTGCTAAGACACAAGGACCCAAGCTCCCCTGGACATCCCTGCACCCAGGGTAGCAACTTCCTGGTCTCCTCAGTGGGAGATGCCATTGTAAGATCACCAGACTGGGCACCAATCAGTAACTCATTTCTGCAGAATTGGTCACAATTCCTGTAATCTTCTGTTTGTTCACACATAAATATGCACACATAGCATACAGGTTAGTTTTGTTTTTTAAAGATAAGATCCTCGTGCATTCCTGTTGTTGTTTCTGAGCTTTTATTTCACCTCTTCTCTCCTGTCCGCATGTCCTTTCTTCTGGAGGAAGCCCTGTTGTAGCTTTTCCTATGGGCAGCAAGCTCTAGGGAAGAAAGGCAAGCTGCTAAGAGACACGCACATGTACAAGCATGTACAACCCAAATCAGTGCATGCTCACCCTTGCCTACCCCAGTAGAATAGCTCATCCATCTATATCGTCTCCTAGTCCCAACAAAAGGCTTTGGAGTTGCACTCACCCTCTACTTACAGCATCTGAGTGTCTTCCCTTCCATTCTAAGAATCTGGTTGTTTGCATTAGAATACAATGTTGTGGGAGTTAGAAACTCCCACAATGAGTTTTTGCTTTGTCTCATATTCCATACACAGGCTCAGAATACCTGTTCATTCTGCTATTACCAATGTCATTCACCTAGAACAGCTGAAGGACCATGTTTGCATGTGCCCTCCTTATTGTCCACCAGTTCCTTCATTTTTAAGAAATAGTTGTGCTGCCGGACACCGGCAGCTCATGTCTGTAGTCCCAGCTACTTGGGAGGCAGAGATCAGGAGGATTGTGGTTCAAGGCCAGCCCGAGGGAAAAAACACGAAACCCTTTCTGAAAAATACTCAATGCACAAAGGGGCTGGCGGAGTGGCTCAAGTGGTAGAGCACCTGCCTGGCAAGCCTGAGTTAAAACCCCAGTGCTGACTGCCCCTCCCCCTCAGGGGAGAAAAAAATAGCTGGGCTGTTCTCATTTGAGTGATCTAGATAGTTGGCCATGACCCACTGTACTTTCCTTTTGTCCCTTTGTACCTCGTTTGTCTCAGTCCTGTAAACACTTTTACGTCCTGTGCCCCTCCAGGCTTGCACATCTGTTTTGGACTCTAAAACCCTTTCTTCAGTGGTTTCTGCAGGGAGAACTTAGGAAGTAGCATTTTATATAAAAAACTTCCTTATCCAGAAACACTGGCTCCTGTGTTTTCTTCTCAGTTATTGTATGTTACCTTGATTTCCTCCTGTGGAAGGCTTTGCTAGTTTTTCTTTGAAGTCACTTGAAGATTAGGTCTAAAGGCCCAAATTGGCTTTGGTTTTTCATGAAAGTTTAGTGTCTTTCCTCAGTCAGTCCCTGACACGGGCTATACTGGATCTCTGTGCTTAGTGTGGTGCCCTCTTCTCTCATCACATGTGAGCTCAGATCTTTCAGTTTTAGAAAGTTGTCTCAAGTTAGTAGTATTTTGGTTCTGTTTTTTTTGTTTTGTTTTTTGGGTTTTTTTTTTTTTTTTTGGCACTGGAGCTTGAAACTTAGGGCTCTCGCTAGGCAGGCGTTCAATCTGAGCCACTCCACCAGCCCTGTTTTGGTTGGGTTTTTTTTTTCAAGAGAGAGTCTCAGCTATTTTCCTGGGCTGGCTTTGAACCATGATCGTCCTGATTTCTGCCTTCCAAGTAGCTAGGATTACAGGCATGAGCTACTGACGCCTAGCCTGTTCTTATTCTTGCTTTGTTTTCATCTTTGGTGTCCCCATTGCCTTCTATGCCTACTTCAGTACTTTGCAGACTCTTGATTTCTTTTATCTCTTCATTTCTTTTTTGATATGTAACTCACATACTATACAGTTCACCTGTTTTATGGGAGTATTTAGTCCATAGTTTGTTTGTTTTTTAAAACTAATTTTCGAGCACTAAGAGGAAGGTACAGAATTCCCTGTACCCTTGCCCCAAATCCAAGCCTCTCCACTACCTCCTACCCTCCATTAGAGTGAGACCATTGTAAAAACCCGCATGACATGTCATTACCCAGTTCCTGATTTAGACTTCACTTTTGATGTAGTACATTCTGTAGGTTTGGACAAATGTATGCTACTGTCCATCCACCACTGTAGTATCATACAGTATTCACTGATCGTTTTACTGTCTTCAAGTTTTGCCTTTTTCAGGATGTCAGACAGATGAAATCAACAGCATATTGTCTTTCTATAACTGGCTTCTTTCACTTCGAAATATGCATTTAAATTTTTCCATGTCTTTTTGTGGGTGGTCAGTTCATCTCCTTGTAGCTGAATAATACTTACTGTCTGAGCACACCACAGTTTGTTCCATTCACCTTCTGAAGGATTTCTGGTAGCTTTCAGTTTGGGCAGATGAGTAAAAATGCTATAAACATATGCATAGGGCTGTGGGTGTAGCTCAGTGGTAGAGTGCTCACCTACATATGCAAGGCTCTGGGTTTGAATCCTACCACCACAAAAAATAATACAGAACACCCAGGTGTAGGTTTTGTAGTGATACAGTTTCAGCTCCTTTGGAGTACCAAGAAGCATGATTGCTAGATGATATGGCAAGAGTGTGTTTAGTTTTGTAGGAAACCATCAGACTCTTCCAAAGTGGCTGTACAGTTTATTCCCACGCGGCATGTGAGGATGTCCATACTTGCCAACACGCACTACTTTCTCTTTTGTTCCAGCCATCCTAGTAATGTGAAGTGGTATTCTACTGCGGTTGGATTTGCATTTCCCTATCTTACTTATTTCCGGTTTTAAATTTTTCTTTTTCTCCTTCAAGTATTAAAGTTTATTTGTTGTTTTCTTCTAATTTATCTTCGTTTCTTGAATGCTGGTTTATGATTTCATTTGAATTCTTCTTGTTTTTTTTTTTTTTTTTCCAGTTCTGGGGTTTGAACTTGGGGACCTACACCTTGAACCATTCCACCATTCCACCAGCCGTTTTTTGTGATGGGGTTTTTTCGAGATAGGGTCTCATGAACTGTTTCCCCTGAGCCAACTTGTACTGGGATCCTCCTGATCTCTGCCTCCTGAGTAGCTAGAATTACAGGGATGAGCCACCAGTGCCCGGCTTCTTGAAGTTTTTCACTTTGTTTCTCAGTTCTTTTTTTTTTTTTTTTTAACTTTTCAGTGCCAGGGTCTGAATTCAGGGCCTTGCACTTGGTAGGCAGAGCCACACTCCTAGCCATGTTCTATCATTTTATTCTCCTGTTTTGTTTGGAGTTTTTTTTTTTTTTTTTTAGGTGGTACTGGGGATTGAGCTCAGAACTCAAACTTGCTAGAGGCACTCTATCACTTGAACCACACCCCTAGTTCTTTTAAGCTTTTATGTATATTTAACAGGGTCTCAAGTTTTTGCTGGATGAGACTGGATTGTGATACTCCTATATATGGTTCCTGCTTAGCTGGGATGACAGGCTTAAGTCATTGTGCCCAGCCTTATTCTCCTATTTTGATCAGAGGAGGCACTCTTGGTCTCCCAGCCCCGCACCAGTGGTAGGTATTTAAACCAGGGCCTCACACATGCTAAGCAAGCAATCTACCACTGGGCCACATTTCCCCTGTTTTCCCCCTACCCCCCATGTACACACACCTTTTTTAATCTTGAGACAGGGTCTTGCTAAATTACCTAGGCTGATCATGAACTTGTGGTCCTCCTGCCTCAGCCTCCCAAGTACCTGGAATCATGGATGTGTTCGACCCTACCTGGCTATTCTTGGTCTTTCATTTTGCGGCATTGGGGTTTGAACTCAGGGTCTCATACTTGCTAGGCAGGCACTCTACCACTTGAGCCTCTCCACCAGCCCCTCTTGGTCTTTTTTTATAGACACATCTTTCTGAAGTACTTTGTCATCTGTGGAGATTTGGTACTTTATCTGGCAAGCTTCTAGGTAAAGCTAGTTGCTGTCCACCTTAAGGGTAGATCATGTGGTCAGCTTTGCTATCTTCTGTTTAGGGTATGGCAGCTTGCTTCCTGAGAATTTCTGAAGCTTTTCTTTCCTTGCTTTGCTTTGCTGTCCTTGTTCGTTCCATTTTACTCCCCTTCCAGCACTTGTCCTCAGTACAGGGCACCATCCTGGTGGCTCAATGCTCAGAGGAGTTACCCACAACCAAGGGGAGCCACGCTGTGCAATGTGGTGGTGCAGTTAGTGGCGGCTGGAGGAACTGCCTCAAGGTGGTGAAGGCCCACCCAAGAAAGGGCAAGCCCTCCATCCTCTGTGCATCCCTACTCCATCACCCACTGAGTGATTGCCCTGAGTGCGCACAGGTCCCTGCACAGGTGTTTTCCTAGTTCTGCAATGAGCTCTGAGGTTTGAAAGGTATAGTTAGGGCTGGCAGAGTGGGTCAGGTATAGCAAGCATGAGGCCAAGTCCAAACCCCAGTACCAATGGCGGCAGGGTGGTGGCGGGGAAAGGTATAGTTAAATCCTCAGTATTTTTTTTTTCTTTTCCCTCTGAGTTCAGTCCTGCTGTATTTTCAGAGTGTGTCTCAGGCTAGGGATGTTAGCTCAGTGGTAGAGTGTTCACCTGGCATACATGAAGCACCAGGTTTGATCCCCAGCGCCACAAAACGCATTATTTCTTTCAAGGTTCCAAAGAAATAACAGTAGCAGCGCAGGTTAGTACTTCTGAACACTAGGCTTGGGAGCTGAAGTGAGAAGACATTGGGGGAGAGTTGGGAGGGGCTGCTTTTTGGTGAGGGTGCAAGGCACACTCCCTCTCCCTCTCCTTAGTAGAACAAGTAAACTTGGTCCTCAATACTGCAAATCTGCGACTTTTAGAACAGGAGGGCTGGAAGGCGCTGGGGGCACCACTGTGCTGTGGTGAGGGGATGTGAGGTGAGGGACTAGGAGAGAGATCCTGCTCTCAGCCCTGGCTACTGGCCCCAAGGGACATTTGCAGATGTTAACTGTCACAACTTGGTGCCAGTGCTACTGGCTTCTAGTGGGTGCTGCCCCACCAGAGAATTGCTGGGTATCACATGCCGCCATGGAGGCACCCAGGCTGTGATAAGAGCAAATGAAGCTCTCAGGCGGACTTTGCCATCCCCTCAGAGAGCCTTGTTGTTCCAGAAATGAACTGTGTCAGGCTCAAGGTTCATTTTTTCCAGAGAATTATTTTTACATCTGCTTAGAGTCTGTGGGCAGACCATTCAGAAGAGATCTTTAATAAGCCCAAGTGCACTTGTTGGTGCAGATTTGCTTCTTATTGAGGTGGCCTGGCAGTGCTTTTTTCCTATGTGCAGCCACATGTTCCAGGTACATGTCTGAGACCTTGCTGGTTTTGGAGGGTATGGGGAGACAGCTTTGATTGCCAAGGAGACTACCAAGGGACATTTGTTACTTAATGATTAAGTACCAAATAAAGGATTAGCTAGAGCTTGTGAAATGATGGAACCCTCCCCTATTTTCAGGACCTTAGCAGCGGAGAAGTTGAGGGAAAGGGCTGCAGAAGGAACTGAGACAAAAGTTTCCCCAGCTGAGTGTTGGAGGGACTCAGCTGCCCACTTTCTGCTCTTGAGTCTGCAGACACAGGGTCATTAGCGCGCCAACCTTCTGTGCCTTTCCTGCTGTTTATCCAAGGCTGTCTTATCAGTTATCCTTCCTTTTCAACAGGGCAGACCTCCTTATGCTGCTTCAGCAGAAGAAGTGGCCAAAGAACTGAAGTCGAAATCCGGGGAATCCAAGTCCTCTGCAGTGTCGTCAGACGGGTCCCTGGCTGAAAATGGAGTGATGGCCGAGGAGAAGCCGGTGCCCCAGCTGAATGGGAATGCAGGAGACACCAGGGCCCCCAGCCACTCCGAAAGTGCCTTGAACAATGACTCTAAAATGTGCAATACAAATCCTCATTTAAATGCACTAAGTACAGACAGCGCCTGCCGCAGGGAGGCTGCTCTGGAGGCAGCTGTCTTAAATGAAGAAGAGTAAACTTATTTTTATAGAGGGTGAAGGATGCTGGAAGGGTAAGGATTTAGGAGTACCTGGAGAGAAAGAGAGCCTGCAGTTACGTACATTTTGTCCTGTCCGTCAGAGAAAAGTGAGGACTTTGGAAATTCAGATCCCTCTTTGATATCAGAGATTTAAACAACACATTTTTAGTTTTAACCAGTTGTAGTCAAAATGCTACAATAAAACAAAAAAGAGAGAAAGGAAATGAAGAGCATTTGACTCCCGCACTTAAAATGAAGTACACATAAAGTTTAAACTGGTTATGACAAAAGCCTATAGTTGTGTTTCTTGAACATAAAGAAAACAAATTTTGGCAGTCTTTAAGTATATATAGCTTAAAATATAATTTTTAGCATTTGGCACCATATGTATGCCATTATATTTGATTTTGCATTACTGTTTCACAATGAAGCTTTCTTTAAGGCTTTGATTTTTATGATTATGAAAGAAATAAGGCACAACCACAGTTTTTCTTTCTTACTTAAATTTCATCACTGTTGATGTGGTTATTTTGTGTTAAAAAAAAAGTGCAACTATTGAAACTAAAAAATTATAGAGTAATATTGCCGTTCTGCTGATTTTAAATATACAGTACATCATACATACGTTACAAGCAAGTGACATGGAGATAGAGCTGAAATCATAGAAGGTGCAAATGACCTTTCAAAATCAACACAATGTGTTCTGAAACTTTTTGTGACTAATACCATGCATCTGTGATCAATGAACTATGTGGTTTTGAATCGGACGTAGACCATTAGTACTACTACTTGAGCTAAACTTCTGCATGGCTCCTGATTTTTAAAGTGTGTAGTTAATATTATGCATGTCACTGTCCTTTCTTCCATTCTTACCAGTATGTGCCCATTTGCAAAACAAAAGCTAATAACCAGTAATAGTCCTATAAAAGATGTTAACTGTTTAGTCATTGATCTTGCTCTAACCTTAAAATTTTGTGATTATTGACCTCTGTTGCATTTATTCTAAAACCCCCCAAAATTATCTAGCTGTTTCAAATATCAACATTACCCTGGTGTATTCACTGCTGTATGCATTATTGTTCTTTGTTGCTGTTTTATGCCTTCATATTAGCAAAATATGAAATTCTGTGAAGAAAAAAACCCTTTGATCTTTAAAAAAAAAAAAAACAAACCACCCCCCCTTCTGTAGCAGGAAAAAAAATTGCTTGTTCTTGAGAACTTTCCCATGAAGAATTTAGTAGAAGCAAGTATACTTCTATCATTTTGATGTTTTTGTTAATGTTTCCAAACAATGTACTTTGAAATCAGAATCACTTCTTATCGTTTTCATATACTTCTGATGCTCTTCATCACATTAGTGATCAGAAATGAGGTGTAATTCCCCAACCCCTGCCCGCAAGAGCTGAGTAGGATCTTACTGTAAGTTGAAGGGAGTTCTGCCCTAACTCATGGATTGTGAAGAATGAACTGCTGTTGGGTCTGATTGACTGTGGATGGATTTGTGGTGTGGCGTATCCAGAGGCTATTGAATGCAACTTACAATGCTTAATAAAAATCTTTATTCTTTTAGTATAAACTGCTGTGCGGCTCTTAAATTCACTCGTAAAAGCATAAATTTGACAGAGGTTTAATTGGAATTGAGGTCGCTTCTGAGGACCTTGAGCGAATAGCCAAAGTTTTAAATGCATTGTGTCCTTTCAGAGTAACTCCGCTTTTCTAGCTGTAAGGGAACACCGATACACGATTTCTATGAAAACCATGCTCACGTGCAACGTTTGAGATCCATGGTTAGGTTTCACGCGACCCAAAAGGACATCCTCTGATAAACCAGGCTTAGAAGCAGAAAACTGTTTTGTTAAGACCCCGAGGAAGAAATAAATTTGATCCTGATTAAGTGGTGGTTTCGGAACTCGGAGTTGCACGTGTGAGCCGCTCTTCGCGCCATCATTTCGGCCCGAGGCTCTACTCTGCATCTTGGCAGAGCACAAGGGTACCTGGAGCGGCGAGAGCGAGCACCCGCGCGTGCGGCGGGGACCGGGGCGCGCGCTCTCCGGGGTGGGCGGGGCCGGGAGGGGCCGCGCGCCCGGCCGGGGGGCGGGGCTTGCCAGCGCCCTGTCCCCGCCCTTCCTCCTACCCGTGCCCACCCCCGGGCTCAGGGTGCGCGCGCATCCCGGGGCGGCGCCGCGGCGGAGGGCTGCGGCCCGAGGCACCCGCGCAGCAGCCTGGGGCGGGGCTGAGCCCGAGACCTCTCTCCCCGCTCGGCCCAGCTTCCCAGCGCTTCTCGCTCCGTAGGTCTCCCGGCGGCCAGCCCCACGGAGGTCCCTAAGGAACTGACCGGTACCCCAGCCTGTGCCCTGGACCCACCCTGGTCCAACCAGGCTCCTGTGTGTATGCCCAGACCCACCTAGGGCCCGAACTGAGCTCAAAATTCCCAGGCCCCTGGGAGCCCTCCCCGGTGACGCCTCTGTGCAGACCCAACGGTGACTGGGCTTCCAGATTTTGGAGGCACGTCTTTTCCCCTCCTGCTCTGTTTATCAACGTGACCTCGACGGCCTCAGGACCGACCGGATTTGAGGGCCTCTGCCGTTCTGCTTGCCAGCTGCCTGAGGGATGCCAGGCCGCTTAAGCGCCTTCTCTGTGCATGGGAGCCAGAGCTGCCCCTCTTAAACCCCATTCCAGGGAGGGCCGCGAACCCTGGGAAGCAAGCTTAACTCACTCTGCACCCCATATACCTGGCCGAGGGGCAGGGTATTGGAGGAAGACTGGTTTTAGTCCTATGGTGCCTCACCTGTTAAAGAAATCACAAACCCCGCCATTTCTGGGTCTTCGATAGGCTCAGGTTCACCTCACTTGAGAACAGCAAACTGACAGGAACAGTTCTGCAGCTTGGAGAGGGAGGGACGGGGACAGGTTTCTGCACAACAAAGTCCTTGCAACAAATGCAGTCATCTCAAGGCTGTTCCCTCTGTGATAAACAGGTGCTCCCTCCTTCCACCACCTCTCTTATCACTTGGGCATTTGTAAGTGCTGTCACTCTTAGCTCCAAGGTAGGTCTCTACTCACCTTCCCAAAGCCCCAGAGGTCCAGACCTGAGCAGGAAGGAAAAGCAAGAGAGAGGGTCCAGAGGCTGCAGGGACATGGGACTGGAACCCCTGTTCCACGCTTGGCCAGAGACACACTGCTTTTCTCCCCACACCAGTAGAATTTCAGGGGAAAGCCCAAAGGCAATGCTGACGTGGGCTGAAGGACCATGGGGGATGTGCCACAGGCTAGAGCTCAGGACCATGCTGAGGCCAGTGTCAACCCTGGCTTCGGGGCATCCTGGGACAGGTCGCACACTCTATGCTTTTATTGAATTTTTTTTTTCTTGTTTCAAATGTAGTATGTGTTTATTGTGGCAAGGTAAAACCAAAAAAATCTAGGTAAAGTACATAAAGAAAAGAAAAACTACCAGTAACTCTTTCATCCTGAGACACCTATTGCTAAAGCTAGATCTCTCCTTTTTTGGATGCAATACATAGATTTTTTTTTTTTCCTTCTAAAAAAAAACCAGTCAGGCTGCCCGCACATGCTTTGTGTCATTTTCCCCACAGAACATCACATGATGGCTCCTCTCAATGGTCCCCCCACAATGGACTCCCTCTTTATTTGGCAGCCTAGCGGGACATTTCCCTTACTTGTTCTATAAGTTCTTATGGAGTATCTGTGCCAGGTCCTGGCTTACCCACAAGGGACAGAAGTCCCGTGGACCCCGCCATTGTTGCATTTCCATTTGAATGGAAAAGCAACATACGTGTGCACAATTAGAAATACTTGAAGTAAAAAAAGAAAACGAGAAGAGCCAAATGCCTCACGCTTATAATCCTAGCTACTTGGGAGGCTGAGATCAGGAGGATCATGGCTCAAGGTCAGCCCGGGCAAATAGTTCATGAGACTCCATCTCCAAAATAACCAGAACAAAATGGACTGGAGGTGTGCCTCAAGTGGTAAAGCACCTACTTTGCAAACATGAAGTCCTGAGTTCAAACCACAGTCCCACCCAAAAAAAAAAAATGAGGGGAAAAAGATGGGGTGATGGGTGGGGTGAGTGACAGAAGGGAATCCACGGAGAGGGGAGAAACCAGAGGTCATCCTGAAGCTAGCCCTGGTGTGTGGGGCAGGATGGGTGTACTGGGTGGGTTCCAGGTGTTCACACCACTCATAGGTGAGCCTTGTGACAGTCTGTTGGTCTTCCTAATGAGCTTTTCACCAGAAGGAGGCATTCCTACTGATGTGACCCAAAGTATCACCCTACAGGGCTCAGGAGCCATTTGTCTGCAGAGGCCCAACTTGCTGGACCAAGCTGCTACTTTGACAGTTAAAAGTAGGCTTTCAGCTGGGCTCCAGTGACTCACATCTATAATCCTCCTCCTGGGGTGGCAGAGATTGGAAGGATGGAGGTTTGAAGCCAGCCCAGGCAAATAGTTCAAGAGACCCTCTCTCAAAAAAAAAAAAATCCAACATAAAAAAAGGGCTGGTGGAGTAGCTCAAGTGGTAGAGTGCGTGCTTACCAAGTGTGAGGCCCTGAGTGCAAATCCCAGTACTGCAAAAGAAAGAAGGGGGGGCTTTTTTCTTTTGGACTTTTTGAGACAGGGTCTTGGCTTGTAGTCCAGGCTGGTCTCAAAGTTTCTATCTTCTTGCTTCATTTGCATGACTTTGATTTCTAGTGGGGGTGAACATATCCCTCTTACCATTAATTTACTGTTTATTTTTTTCATTTAACAGGAGACTTGGAATGCCAGCTCACCATCCATACCTTCATCCATAACTTCAACTGCAGAGGCAAAGGGGGTGGCCTATGGGCTGCCCTGTGGAGGTAGACATCATGGAGGTTGTCCTCAGAGGGCTGTCTCTTCCACTGATTTCATTTCTGAGAATGTATCCCTACACTCCATGTCTTGGAAAAAAGTCCTTTGTTGCTTGGCCCTCCACTTGGGGAAGTGGACTGGGAAGAGCCCTCTTTGTCAGGGGCTTGCTGCTGGTGGGCCTCCTGCATCCTCCACACATGGGTCTTGGGCTGTCTGCTTCCTGTTCCCATGTGTGTCCGCCCCCCTCATGCCCCCTCACTCCCCGCCCCGCCCATCCCGAACCACAGCGGGGTGCTCAGGCTCACGGATCCTAGCCCTGTGAGCTCCCTAGCAAGGCTCAGGCTAAGCTGATCCAAGATCCAGCAGGTAGGCCTTTTGGTTTGTTTTATTTTGTTTGTGGTACCAGGATTTAACTCACGGCCTATCAAATGCTAGGCAAGTACTCCACCACTGGGAGCCACCCTCCAAACCCTTTTTGTACTTTTTTTTTTTTTTTTTTGGGTGGGACTTGGGTTTGAAGTTAGGGCTTTGCCCTTGTAAAGCAGGTGCTCTACCACTTAAGCCATACCTCCAGTCCATTTTGCTCTAGTTATTTTTTGGAGATGGGGTCTCCTGAACTATTCGCCTAGGTTGGCATTGAATCATATCCTCCTGATCTCAGCCTCCTAAGAAGCTACAGGCATGAGCCACTGACACTGGTTTGTTTGTATGTTAGTGGCCTTGAACTACAGATTCTCCTGCAGCTGCCTCCTGAGTAGCTACACCCAGCGAGGGGGAGTCTTTTCCTTAGAGTTCCTTGCCCTGTGTTAGGGCTGAATTCCCCTTCCAAATTCATGTGGTCAAGTCCTGACCCCCAATATCTCAGAATGTGACCTTATTTGGAAGTAGGGTCTTTACAGATGTAATTAGTTGAGTTAGGACAAGCTCATGTTGGTTTTGAAGGACCTTTACCAATATGACTGGCAGAAAAAGGGAACCTGGGGAGTCTTTATTCCCATTTCCTGCATGGGAAATGCCCCCCCCCATACACACACAATTTCTCCCTACTTTTATCCTGTTACACTAAATTCCTTTCTAATGAACTTTGCTTTAGTTTTTGCGAAGAAGAAGAAGAGGGGGAGGAGGAGGAGGAACATGAGAGGGGAAGAGGGAAGGGGGGAGACTGCTGTGGGTAACAGTGGAGTGATGTGACCACAGGCCAAGAAGCTACCAGAATGTGGACAGAGCCTTCTCTAGGGCATCCTGTGGAGTGCAGCCCTACAGACTCCTTGGTCTGAGACTTCTGGCCCCAGAGCCAGAGACACTAAACGCCTGCCATCTAAGGCGCACAGTCTGTGGTCCTTCATTACACAGCTCTGGACTTTATGCACTTGCACGCCGGAACCCAAGGTGGCGCCACCTCCCTCCCTGACCAGGTCAGGGAGGGACTCAGCCAGGTGCTGCACTCATTTCTTCTTTCCTGACTCCCATGACTGCAAGTGGCCCAGGCTGAGCAGAATGCAAATGGTTCTCAAAAGAATGAACCCTAACTGAGGAGCAAGAACTTCAGTTAGGCCTGCTGAGGCTTTTTCTTTTTGGTGTGACTGGAGTTTGAACTCAGGGCTTCACCCTGTCAAACAGGTGCTCTACTGCTTGAGCCACACCTCCAGTCCATTTGCTCTGTTTATTTTGGAGATGAAGTCTTTCAAGCTATTGTCTGGGCTGGCCTTGAACCTCGATCTTCTTGATTTCAACCTCCCAAGTAGCTAGGATTACAGGCGTTGAGTTGAGGATCCTGACCAAGAACCATGGTGGGCCATACACGACCAAGAACCACAGCTGGCGGGCCCCCAAACCTGTGCAGCTGGGAAAGAAAGATCTTGGGTTTGGCCAATGAAGAGAAATGTCTATCCATCTGGGCTTTTATCCACCCACTGGTCACAGCCAGAGGGAATACAAGGGGTGGGACTGGGCTTGCTACAGGGGGATCCTACCAGGGCGATGGAACTTCTGTTTTGTTTTACTTTTTGCTGTACTAGGGTTGAACTCAGGTCCTCACATTTGCTATGCAGGTGCTCTACCACTTGAGACACTCCACCAACCCTGTTTTGTGTTGGTTATTTTTGAGATAGGGTCTCTTGAACTATTTGCCTGGGCTGGCTTTGAACCATGATCCTCCTGATCTCTGCCTCCTGAGTAGCTAGGATTACAGGCGTGAGCTATCAGTACCCAGTAAAGAATTCCATTTAAAATAGCATAAAAGGGCTGGCAGAGTGGCTCAAGTGGTGGAGTGCCCGTCTAGGAAGCATGAGGCCAAACCCCATATCACCAAATAAATAAATAAATAAATAGAATAAAAATACTCAGGAATAAATTTAGCCAAGGAGGCAAGACTTGTAAGCTGAAAAGGACCAAGAGCTACTGAAAGCAATTAATGACAAGGATAAATGGAAAGTCTGTGTGTTCATGCATTAGAAGATTTTAATATTGTTAAGAGGTCACTATCTAATTTCAATGATTTGTTTTTGAGAAACAAAATTTCTAAGAAAAAAAATCCATCCTAAAATTCATATGTAATGTCAAGGGACCCCAAATAGCCAAAATAATCTTGAAAAAGAACAAAGTTGGGCCGGAAGCCAGTGGCTCACTCCGTAATCCTAGTTACTCAGGAGGCAGAGATCAGGAGGATTGTGGTTCAAAGCCAGCTGTGGGCAAATAGTTGGCAAGAGCCTATCTCCAAAAAACTTATCATTTTTTGTGATGGTGGAGTGCCTCAAAGTGTAGGCCCTGAGTTCAAACCCCAGTATCACCAAATAAATAAATGAAAAGAAAATGAAAGCAGGGATTTCTTTTGGTATCATAGGATAATGTGGGTTTGGGGGAGTAAGGAATTGGGGAGAAACATATCCTGCTCTCCATGAAGCAATCTGCTGGCACTGACATGAGAAGAGCCAGACAGAAATTCTCCTGGCTTTCTGTGTGCGGGGGCTTACGCCTGTAACCCTAGTTACTCAGGAGGCACAGATCAGGAGAATTGAGGTTCGAAGGCAGCCTGGGCAAATAGTTTGAGAAACCCTATCTTGAGAAAACCCTTCACCAAAAAGTGCTGGTGGACTGGCTCAAGGTGTAGTCCCTGAGTTCAAACTCTAGTACTGAAAGAAACCAAAAAAACAAAAAACAAGTGGTCAAGTGGCACTGGCCTCCAAACAGACATATTGACAAGTGAAATACAACACAGTGCCTGGAAATAGATCTGCATATAGATTGGAGTTCTCAATAAGGGGCCAGGTAGTTTTCAACAAGGAGGCCAAGACCACCATTTTAATAAACGGTTGTGGGAAACCCAACCCTGAAGCTGGGGACTGGGCATGGCTCAAGTAGAGCACCTGCTTAGCAAGCTCAAAGCCCTGAGTTCAAACCCCAGTACCACCACCACCACCAAAAAAAAAAAAAAAAAAAAACCAGAATGAAGTTGGGCCCTTATGTTACACCATATACAAGCATTAACTCGAAATGGATCAAAGACTTTCACATAAGAGCTAAAACCAGCTGGGAACCAGTAGCTCACACCTGTAATCCTAGCTGTTTGGGAGGCTGAGATGAGGAGGATCTCCATTCAAGGCCAGCCCAGGCAAGTAGTTTTTGAAACCCCATCTCTAAAATAAGCAAAGCAAAATGGACTGGAGGTGGGACTCAATCTTTAGAGCAACTGCTTTGCAAGTGGAAAGCCCTGAGTTCAAACCCAGTACACACCAAATAAAAGATAAACCCACAAAACTCCTAGAGGAAAACATAGGGGAAAGCTTCATGATATTGGATTTGACAATGAGTTCTTAGATATAAATTTAAAAAGCACAGGTAAGGAAAGAAATAACAGGTAATTTAGATTTCACTGAAATTAAAAAATTTTGTGCACCAAAGGACATTATCCAACAGAGTAAGGAGGCAATTACAGAATGAAAGGGAGAAATTACTTGCAAATGTATCTGATAGATTAGTATCCAGAATAAATCAAAGATTCCTACAAGTCAACCATTCAAAACTGGGCAAAGTTTTTTTTTTTTTTTTTGCGGTACTGGGGTTTGAACTCAGGGCTTCATGCTGCTTGGGCAACAGCTCCAGTCCACTTTGTTCTGGTTATTTTGGAGATAGGGTTTCACAAACTATTTGTCCAGACTGGCTTTGAACCTCAGATCTCAGCTTCCCAAGTAGCAAGGATTACAGGCGTGAGCCACCAGCTGCAGCGTTACTCCTAAGAGTCAAATGGTGCAAACAGCCCAAGTGTCCTCCAACATATGAACGGATAAACAAGGTGTGATCTGTCCACACAATGGAATATTCTTCAGTCAAAAAGGAAGAGATTTCTGATTACGGTTCAACAGGGATAAAACTTCAGGACATTTTGCCAAGTGAAACAAGCTATCACACAAAACCAAATACTATATGATTCCATGTCTTTGATGTCCCTAGAGTAGCAAAAGTTGTAGAGATAGAAAGTAGACAGGTGTCCACCAGAAGGTGGGGTGGGGAGGAGTGGACAGTAGGAAGTTGTAATTCAACAGGGACCAAATTTCAATTGGATAAGATGAAAACATTTCTGGAGATGGATGGTGGTGATGGCTGTACAGTAGTGTAAGTGGGCTCAATACTGCTAAGCTGTCCATTAAAAATGTTTGAAATGGGCTGAGGATGTAGTTCTCCAGTATGGAGCTGGCCAAGCATGGCTGAGGCCCTGGGTGTGATCCCCAGCACAGCAACAATACAACAACAACAGAAACCCAGGTTAAAATGGTGAATTTTATAATATGCATAGTTAATTGCAGTTTAAGGCAACCTGCACCAAGGCTCAACCCATTTTGTTGAGTGGGTACATTAAGGAAACAGGGACTGAGATGGGCGTTGTGTGTGTCTGTTGTAAGAGGAAGAAAACATGTCTGTGTCAAACAGGTGCTGCTGGGCAGTGCTGTGGATGTGCCCCACTGCAGTGTCAGGATGCAAGGGCATGTGGGGCCACCTAGCTCATGAGCCCATCCTCCTGACACCTGTCACAGGCCGGGCCGATTGGAGTCCTAGGCAGTGACATAGGAATACAAGTACAGACTAGCAGGTGCTGAACAGTAGTGAGTCCTGAGGAAGTAGGGACCGCTTGGCAGGTGAGTACTGAGGTCCAGGCAGCACAACCAGAAGGGGCCACTGATGTGATGTGGGTGGGGGAGGATGCCACTTGAACTTGGGGACCACTACCCCCTCCTCTGGAAGTCCTTTCTCTCCTTGTAGTGGCCAGCATGAGCAGCTCACTTTACTCCTTTTGCCTGGGTCCCTTCTCAGAGGGCATCTCTGCCCCCTCCACCCCAGTCACCCACTGGGGTCTATGTACTTCTACAATCATGCTGTCTAAGTACATGTGTGAGACAGGTAGGGAAGTGGGGAGGAGGGCAGAGGAGCATGTCATGGGGGGAGATGGAGAAAAAGGGAGAACAGGGAAGGTATGGAGAGAGCCCTGGGATGAGGCCTGTTTGATATGGCAAATAGCAGGCAGCCCTGCAAGGGTTCTGAAAACCAGAAAAGTGTCTGGTGGATACTCACAGTTACAGCTGCAGAAAGCACAGCTGTCAGCAGATGAGATAGTCATGAGGGCCAGGAAGATGGCCAGAGATATCCATATCCTAGGGGATAAATGACTTGCAGAGGGAGATGGGGCTTTCTGGGAGAAGGCCAAGGCGAGGGGCACAGGCTCAGGACTTGCAGAAGTGTGGGCTCCTCCCTTGCTCCCTCTGCCCTCTGGCCAGGCCATTTCTCTTCCTTAGGCATTTAGTTACTTTGAGCCCCGGTTTTCACTTCTGTAAAATGGCACCAGTGTCACCAGCACTGTGCCCAGGAGGTATTTGGCAAATGTTGGGTAACTACCACTATCATTTGTAAACAAGGAACTGGAAGTGTTCAGGGAGGGAGGACTGCCCACAGTCAAGGCTGCTCCCTGTGCTGGGACCTCCAGAAGTTTCTGGCTTTGGGTAACTGGACAACTAACTCAGTGGTGCTGGGCCCTGGGCACGTGACTGATCTAGTACTGCTGTCATGGGAAAGGGAGTGTCCATTAGGCAACTGGGCTCACCCTGGGTCTTTTGGAGTCCACCCTTTAGCTGCACAAATTCACACCAAGTTGCTGACGCTGGAAGTGGCTTAACAGTTATTCCTTCCACAGAACCTTAGTATGTCAAGAAGTATCCAGGAGGAAGGTCAGCTGAAATTCAGCCAATAGGCTTATCCCAGACAGGTCAAAGGTGTGAGGTTGGGGGTACTCCTCTCTCTTTTCCCACCCCCACTTTCTTCACACTTGCCTGTGGCTAAGGCCCTGTCTTGGGTCACATCCTGAGTCTGGGCACCAGGAGTCCCCTGTTTGGGGAGTGGAGGGGAAGTAACTAAATAGGAGGGAGGACCCTCACTGAACTGCCAGCTTGCAGGCTGGCCAGAGTAGGTGAGGACTGTGCCTTGTCAAGAACACTGAGGTATGTGGAGGGATTACCTACAGTGACCAGCATGTCCTAGTGTCGTGTGGATTTTGCCACTGGATGAAGGGGAAAGACAGTTATGGAGGGAGGCAGTTCCAGCAGGCAGTTTTCTTGTTAGAAATGAGGCCCCTGTCTGGCAGGGTGCCCAAAGGATGCAACTTAGGAGGGGACAGGGGAGAGCCACCATCCCCCAGAGGGCACCTTCTCACTCCCCCATACACCAAAGGCCTCGAACACAGCAGGGGAGGACACAGGCAACATGGCCCCTCCTAGCTTCTCCTCAGGACTCCTGCTGCACAGATGCGAGGTCGCTGGACTGTCCTCCCTGATCCTTAGGTTTTCGGGGCCTGGGGACTCTAACCGGTTCCTGGGCAGCACAAATGCCAGGTAAGCTGTCTTTTTACAGAGCTGACCCATGCCAGCACGCTCTCTGGTCCCCCTGACTTTTGTCCTCCACTCCTGGGGGCTGGAGATCAGGGAAACACCAGGGGATCTGGGCGGAGGGGATTGGGGGGGGGAGCGGGGACAGCCCCCAGCTAGGAGGCAGGGAAGGGGAAGTTGTATCTGAGCCAGAAATCCAGTCGGAATTTGGGATGGGAGGGACGCAGCAGAGCCCAGGGAGAGCAGGAAAAGCCCCCTCTTCCCCACTCTGGGGGTCAGAGGAAAGTTCGGGCCAAGGAGTTGCTTCTCAGCCTTCTGGACGAGGAAGGACGGGCTGCGGGCTCATCCCGTTCCCGGGCAGCTTGCCGGGTCCGTCGTTCCCCCCTCTTCTTCCTCCAGAGTACACCCCCCCCCCGCCTGGTTCACCTTCTCCCACGGAGTCTCCCCAGTCCAGCAGCTCCCCCGGGACTCTCGGCCCACCTTCTCCACCGGCCCGCCTTCCCGGCGGCGGGAGCTGGGCCCAGGCCGGCGGGCGGAGGCGGCGCCACCCGGGGCGCTGACGTAGAGGCCGCTCGGCGGCCGGGGGTCCCTTCGGTGGGGCCGCGGCTCCCCGCCCGCCGCCCCCGCGCGTCCATTCCCTTTTGTGTCCCGCGCGCGGCCCAGCCCGGCGCACACTCGCGCCCTGCGCCCCGCGGGCCGGCGGGCGGCTCCCGGCGCAGCCCTCCAGCCAGCGCGCCGGCATTGTGTGGACGCGCCCGGCCGGGAGCGCGCGCGCGCGCGCGCGGGGGCTGTCGTGCGCCCCCGTCCCCGTCCCTCCGGCCGCGGCGCCGCCTGCGCCCCGCCGCCCCCGCCGCCCCCGCGCGGCCCGGCCCCCGGCCCGGCCCGGCCCGACCCGGGCAGCGCAGCGGCGGGGCGAGCGGCGGCGCGGCGCGGCAACATGGCGACGGTGCCCGTGTACTGCGTCTGCCGGCTCCCCTACGACGTTACCCGCTTCATGATCGAGTGCGACGCCTGCAAGGACTGGTTCCACGGCAGGTGAGCACGCCGCGGTCCCCGCCCGGGCCCGCCGGCCGGCCTGGGCCCGGCCGAGTCCAGCGCCCCCAGGCTGCGCGCCCCAGGCCCGGCTCGGGGACCGGCCGCCGCCGCATTCCGGGCGCCCGGGTCGGGCCGCGCGCCCTTTTGTGCCCAGGGCGGGGGCGCTGGGCCCGCGCCGGGCGTCCCCGGCCGCCGCGCACAAAGCGAGGCCCGCGGGGCCGGGAGGTGGGCTCCGGGCGCGGGGAAGTTGGGGCGCTGGGCCGGGGCCGGGCCGCCTGACAGCGGGGCCGCGGCGGCCGCGGAGGCCGGGCACCGGAGGGAGGCCCAGGCCCGGCGCCCCCGCCGTTCCCCCCCGCCCCTGCGAAGTTGCAGGAACTTTCCCCGCGCGGTCTCGGGGCGGTCGGGCCGGGAGAGGCGGGCGCGCAGCCTGGCGCGGGTCCCCGGAGAGGCGCGACTGGCGGGCTCCGGAGCTGGCACGGCTAGGGCGGCCGAGGGGGCTCCGGCGAGATGGTGACCGGCGCCCCCACTCTCTGCCGTGGCCTGGGAGCTCCCCTGGACCTTGTTCTGGCGGGCAGGACCCCTCCCCGGTTCCCGCGTGGCTTTTGGCCCCGGCCGGCCTGCGGGCCCTGGCGGGAGTGCGGTGACAGAACCGTGTGTGTGTGTGTGTAGGGGTGGGGGTTGTGGCTTTGCCGCCTCCTTCCTGGCCTTCGCGGGTCCCCGATTTCCCTCCTCTCTGTTCCAGGCAGGGACACCCCAGTTTTGACATGACCTTATGGTCTCTAAGGAAGATGGGGAGGGGGAAAGGAGGTAAGCCCGGAGATACTGAAGCCCGCCCTCTTGGCCCTTGCCCGTGGCCATGACCTGGCCCAGTGCCTAGTTTTCGAGAGCCCAGGTCCCTTCCCACCCAGAAGTGGAGGAGAAGGAGGAGGAAGAGGAGGAGGCGGAGGAGGAGGAGGAGGAGGAGGAGGAGGAGGAGGAGGAGGTGGTGGTGGTGACCCTCTTGCCTAAACTGCTCCAACAGGTTCTCTTGGATCTGACTTTGCCTGTGGGATGTGTTCGGGCCCTGGGAGGGCGGGTCTGCCCTCTGGGGCTCCACTCTTAAATGGCCAGGAGCAGACTGGAGGGAGGGGAAGGGGTGTGGTGGTAGGTGGTCCCTGATCCTCCTTCCAGGGAGGTGATCCTTCTGAGGGCTCACCCCATGGGACTTTAGGATCCCTTAAAAGTGAGCTGTGCCCTCTGGTCCAGTCTAGGGGGAGCCAGGATGGGGCCTGCTCACATCTGTCAGCCATGGGCCAGAATCCCACCTTCATGCTGGTTACAGGAATGTCTGTAAGGAGGGCAGGGGGCCTCCTTAGCTCACTATTATCTCTTGAGCCTCCTGGACTGCCTTCTCAGAATATCTAGGGCTGTGGTAAACCCCCAGGGTTATGACCCCTGGGCTCTGCCCAAAACAGAGCCACCAGCCAACTGACAGCCATCTCAGAGGGGTTCATGACCAGACCACAATGGGTCAGAGCTGGTAGGGCTTCCTCACATCCAAAGATGCTGAGACTCTGGCCCTGAATGGCCCCGAAAGTGGTGAGTTGTCCACCCCCCCACACACACTCAAGGTTTGTGGATTCCCTGGGTACCTGTCACCTCTCTGCTGCTGGCCATACTTGGTGCCCAGATTGGGGCAGGTAAAAGTGCTTGGGACTTCGTTCTATGCCCAGGGGGACCCTCTGGGAAAGGAAGGATAGTCCTGAGGTGGATGTCAACCTAGGGGAAAACCCAAGAAGGAAGGGCCTGCTACTGAGAGGGGTTAGCCCGGGGGCTCAGAGTCCTTGCTGTTAGCCCAGGCAAAGGCAAGAGGAGATGAGACCTGGTATTTGAAAGATTTTTTTTTTTTTTTTGGGGGGGGGGCTTTGTCTCCTTATTAGTTATTAGTTTGATTTGATTTGATCCAGGACAGGCTGTTGATCAGCACAGATTCATTTCTACTTATTTGGGGTGGCCTGGGATCTGAAAGGGTCCCAGCTTTGGGAGGTATTTTCTCATGTCTCTAATCAAGGGTTAATTGCTCAAGTGAACCCAGATCTGGGAAAAGCCTCCTGGTGGGTCTAGACCCCTGGGGGCTCCTGGTAGGGGCTGAGATGGGGAAAAGTTGAGGTCAGGGGTTGGGGACTGGGGAGTGAGGCAGGGAGAGGCAGGACTGGGCCTTGGGCTGCTGCTCCAGCTGGAGCAGATTCCTGGGCCTCCCTTAGCACACTTTTTTCATTGGTAGGTGGAAGATGGAGGGCGAGCCCCTTGCATTTCTCAACCTTAGGTATTCTTGGATGACCTTGCTGACTCTTTCCAGGCCTGCAGAGCACCTGTACTGTGATTTGCTTCATAGTTCATATTTTAACTCACTTCTTGAAAGTTTGCATACTTTCACACTTTTTATTTTGGGGGGACTGTAAACTTACAGAAGAGTTTGAAAAGTGATACATTCTCCCTCCACTTCCCCTCTATTCTACTTCCCCTAAAATTAACATCTGACCTGATAGCCACGGTGCCAGCTTCAAAACCAAGGAGAGAACACTGGTGCAGTGCTGTTGACTGGACTACAGACTTTGTTCAGATTGATTTAACCAGGTTGCTCTCCTTGATGTGTCCTCCGGTTCCAGGATCCCACATTGCATGTAATTCTCTGGTCTCCTTACTCCACCAATATGTCTTTTAAAAGGAAACTTCGTATCATTCCCTGAAATAGAACATTAGTGAGTGTAACTTGCCATGCACAGTAGCTGTAAAAATAAACACAGTAACTGTTGAAGTTAAAAAGCTTCAATTTGTCCTACCTGGGGTCACATTACATTCCTCCAGCAAGTCCTGTGTGGGAGAGAATTGAAAAGAAGGTCTCGGAGTCAATCTACACTCACAGTGGTGGAATCTGCTCTTGGCAGTGACCCTGGCCTAGAACTTGGTTGAGGCAGCTGCTTTCTAGGGCCCGAGCTTGCTTTTAGGGTGAGCCTGCTTCTTCAGGGATACCTGTGGAGGCATTCTCCAAGGGGGAAGGAGGGGGAGTGTGTACCATTCTAGCTGTTCCTCCTGCATTCCCTTGATGGATTGGGGGAGGGTGGGGGCTAGGGACTGGAGAAGGAGACCTTCCTTTCAGTCCTGGGATGTAATGTGCTGTACCTGAGGTGCCTTTCCTCTCACATCCTTGTAAGGTTCCTCCTCCAAGCCCATCCCCATCTTTTTTTTTCTTTTTTCTTTTTTTTTTTTGGTAGTGGTACTGGGTTTGAACCCAGGGCTTCACTCTTGCTAGGCAGGTGCTCTACCACTTGAGCCACTCTGCCAGCCCTTTTATGTGTTGGGTATTTTTGAGATAGGGTCTTGAGAAGTATTTGCCTGAGTTGGCTTCAAACATGATCCTCCTGATCTCTGCCTCCCAGCTAGCTAGAATTACAGGTGTGAGCCTCTGGTACCCAGCTGTGACCCTCTTTTAGGTGCTTGTTTTATTGGATTTGAAGGCTTTTTGGAGGTATCACCAGTAAAATTGACTTGAAAGAGCTTGAAAGCTGTGCAGGGGACTTTGGTGACAAAAATTTCACTTATCCTCAGTAGATATTTGTTCAGCATGTATTTTATGAGGGCTTGGAGTAGTTGTGAGGACTTGGGGGTAACCAGAGAGATTTCTTGCCCCTTACAGGGGTTTTTTGGTCAGAGAATGAAACTTGCAGATGGAGTTCCATCTCATTGTAGTGGGTCTTGTCCCATATGGGTGAGCGAGTGTCGTGAGAGCAAAGAAATAGGGATGGTGTGGGGGCAAGGAGGCTATTGTTGGGGGGCTATAGGTGAAGCCAGGACTCAGCTCATCAGAGGGCAAGAACCACAATGAGGGGTCTGAGCAGAGATGGGGAAGGAACAGGCTGAGGGTTTTTTTTTGTTGTTGTTTTTTGAGACAGGGCCTTACCATATAGCTCAGGTTGGCTGTGAGCTCATGC